AAAAAAAAAAAAAAACACCACCACCACCACCACCAACAACAACAACAACAACAACTACTATGGCGAGTGGCCACCCCTACAGACCAGACAGGACAGCTTCGGGTGTGGGCTATGGAAGCACCGCATCCAATTTTCGCAGTCACAGTTGCTGCATCGAATGGCACGGCGCAGACAGATGTCACAGGCTACGTGGCTCGTACATGCTAGGAACATGGAGGCACGTCGCCCGCAATTATAGAGGCATTGCCGTTCCAGCCCCTGTCTACAAATTGGACATGACATGTCAGGGTGTCGTACATAAGTACATTACTGACTGTCATGGTACGTATGGAAGCAAAAACTCGCATGGACTATCCCTTCATAATCCTCACGGCACAAGGCATGCGAACCACATGCTAGTTGAATCTCTGGCGGGTCATCACAAAATGGCATGAAGCATCTTTCTTGGGCTTCCTCTGTATGTATTCCTTCTCTATGGCAGAAGACGACAGGGAGGATCGGTCCAACGCAAGGGCGTTCAGCTGCTGCAGGATATGATCCGCAACAGCTCGCCCTGGTGGTGATAAACTATGAGCACATCGCTCTGCCGGTGGTTCATATAGAAGTCTATTTTCCTCCTCGGACTTCTGTGTTCGTCATTCGTCTGGCAAGAAAGAGGGAGATCCGTCAGCGTTTGCCGTAGGTGTATGACCAACATCGCATGTGGGACAGGCTAGGAGAGGATGTGGAGGGTGATGGCACCGGGGATAGTCCACGCAGTAAAGATACATACTTTCTATGACAGCTTCCTGGAAGCATTGACGACACATGGCATGTTGCTGACATGTCATTAGTATGGAAGGCTGACGTGCACAGTTATTTAAGCATGGCAGATCAAGGCCACAACGGGTGCTGGGCAAGTAATCAGGGGGTGGGGGGGATGAGCACAGGACAGGGGATCACAATTTTCGCGCGAGAGGCTAGCAGCGACCATCCCTTCATAGTGTTCGGAGCAGAGGCTATGTCATGTACATGCCAACCGAACTGCACCTGTGGGACGACACAACCGAAGGGCACAGCCATCATCCTGTGGAGAGGTCCTTTCACTGTTTGTGGTAGAATCAGCCGGATTGCTCTCCAGGGGGTGCAGTGCTTGCAAATGCTCATGGACATAATGTACCTGATGAAAGAGCCAGACTGAGTGACCCTCCAGCATTTGGTGATAGAAAGAGTTAATATTCCGCACTGTGTGCACCTACCGCCAATTTCCCATAGGGTCCATGAATAATCTGCAAAGGTAAGAGCACTGAAGTAACCTGGACGATATAAGATATATGCCCGAATATTCGGATCCGTGCCTGGCACGTGGTTTTGCGGAGCAGGCTGGAATTGCAGTCGCCTACCCATAAATGCCATAGCCAGGACTTCTATGTTCACCCCAGGCGCAGCACTGTCATCCTCTGGGCAGACGGCACAGTGCTCTTCTTCTATCCAGCGAACAACGTCTGCAAAATTAGCAACAGTATAAGGGTTACAATTGTAAGCAAGGAGACATACATTAATGGCATAGTACGCACAGCGCCCTCGCTGTAGCGCTATGACATTGTCTGATTCTGCAGGTTGTGTGGGGGATGCGTTTACGGCAGGGGGATCCTCGTTCGATTCTGCAGGTTGCACAGGTGGCGGAGACTCGTTGTGGTCTTGACCAATTGGCTCCGGTAAGTGCTCCGGAGAGAGATGATCTTCAACCGGGGGCTCCATCAGGTAATCAGGAGACAGGTCATTGTCATTTGGGGCAGGGGAGCGAGTGGGGCTAGGTGGATGAGAGAGGG